TTTTTAAGGAACCAACAAGAATGAAATCTCCTTTGGCCTGGAAATGTCCCAAACTGGATTTTCCTCGCATGTTGTGGAAGTAAGAGACTAAATGTGGGGTTTGTTTTTTTTTTTGCTCTTGCCTGTGTAAGCAGGAACCCTTTAAAGGTGCTTTTTACCATCACTGGCAGCTGCGGGTGGGGAGGTGGGTATTTGGGGCAAGTTATTAATCCTGAAGCTAAATTGCTAACAGGAATATAAGGAGGAACATGCTGGTGGCGCTGGTTTATCCCACAGGGAAGGAAGCTGCTGGGAGACCAGAGCCTTCCCTAGGACCAGCCTGCAGCAGCTCCTCAGGGTGCTGGGATGTGCCCTGAGGAAGGGCGCTTGTCGGTGGTGGGACACCGAGGGTGGGCAGACCCCTTCCACCCCACGGGCCCTGAGGGCTGACAGGTCCAAGGAAAAAGCTAGCAGGGATTTCTGCTAGCAGGGAGGAAAAGCTTGCTGGAAAGGTATGGCTGGGGTGGAGATGTCATTCCAGCATGTTTTGAAATCTCCATCTTTCCAGGTATGCTTTGGAGAATGGTTTGCATTACTATTACTATTTTATTTTCCATTTGTGAGATTTCTCCCCTTTTTCATAAAATGTGTGATTTCTGGGAGGGACCATTTGCTGGTTTTCTCTTCTGCACTCCGCAGCCTCCAATAAGCATATAGAGTAGGATTTGGGCTTTGAGGGACCCCCCCATGTGTCTTCACACAAAACCAGCCCCTTGGGTCCCCTCATCCATCTCGGCTTTGCCACTGTGTGTGTGGGGGGGGAGCAGCGGGAAGGTCATTCCCCTGCGGGAATCTTATCTCCAGGAGTTCCCGGAGGAGCTGAAAAATCACGGCGCGTATTTAGGTAAGAAAGCCAAAGGGGGCTCTGCTCCCAGGGCTGAATTCATGATTTTACGCTTAATAATAGGAAGTACGGCATAGTTCCCAAATGACTAATAGCAGCCAGTACACCCAGCGTAGGCGTGCCCGGCTGCCTGCGAGCTCCCGCCGGCGCGAGACCGGTGTTGCCCCTTGCTGAGGGATGCAGCGTACGTGAGCATCCTCGCTTGGGAAGAGTCCAGTGTCGACCGTGGTGTGCCGCACAAAAGTGATTTAAATACAGAAGTAGCTCGGAGACCGGCCAGCCCGGGTCATCTACAGCGCTTACTGGAATGGTTTTTAAAAGCACTGATGAAATTTCATGCCTAGGGAGGAAATACCTGCTGGGTCAATCCATTCCATGTGCAGCCCTTGAAGCCCCGGAGTAAAAATATCAGCCTGGTTTGCAAAACGAAGCCGCTCCCCAGAGCTGTGCGTGCCAGGCTGAGCTGCCCCGTGGCAGGGAGCAGGGTGGGATGCTGTGGGGTCACCCACCGGCGCGATGGGGCTCTTCCCTCCGCTGGGGACACGAACAGCCCCTGGGCACGCGGGTCATCCTGGGGGTGACAGCAGAGCGTCCCCAGCCTGGGCTGCGGGCAGCTGGAGGGGGGGCGGCTGTGGCTGTGCAAGGGGTACCCGTGGGAGCTCAGCTGGGCTCTGTCCTGCCCTTTGCCTGGAGCAAGAAACCCAGAAATATTAAGGAAACGCCAGTGCATCCTGCTGCGGAGCAGCCTGGCTCACCCAGCACCGGGACCTGGGGGTTTCAAGGCTGATGCTTGGCTTAGGAATATCCCCCCAGGAGGGGAATATTTGGGGAGAGAGAGACCGCAGGGAAAGGGGTCTGTAAACCCCCATAATCCCTGGAGATACTCGAAATTCAACTGGATGTGACCCCGAGTGATCTGATCCAGCTTCATGGTTGGCCATGAATTAATGAGCTTCTAATAATTGAAATTATTATTAATGTAATAATAACAATCTAATAATTATAATTTAATAATAAATAATTATTAATAACTTAAATTCTTATAGTGAATTACTGAGCTTCTAATAATTTAAAACCGACTGTGAATGTGCAGGAACTTTGAGCGGGGTTTCAAAAATAGGATTTTGCAGCTCCAGCACTGTATTCCTACCCAAGCCCACGGGCAAGTGCCACAGCCCAGCACGCGACGTGTAGCATCGGTGATCCTGACGCAGAAAATAACCCATCTGGGTAGGAAAGGGGGATTGCTCTGGGTCATTCGCTTACAGAGCATTATTTCTGTAAGGGCTTGTGAGCAACGATCATGATGGATTGGTGGCTTCTATTGGGCTGTGACTGTTCCCATCAAGCATCAGCAAAGTCTTTCACGCCTGGTTTGGGACGCAGCGCTGCTGGGGTCTCAAAGGAGCAGTGCAGTGGGCACCACAGCCTCCCAGCCCGCTTGCACCTTGCTCGTGTTTGTTTAATTTGATGTGAGCCATGAAGCAAAACACGTCCCGGGCTGTGAATTGGACCTGCCTTCAATGGGGGAAGGATTTTGCGTGGGGTTTGCCCACTGGGTTAGGCAGTGCCAAAACTCCTGGAGCGGCTGCGCTGCTCGGGGTGTAGGCAGGACCTGAACAGGCGGCTCAGGGGGTCAGGGCACTGGGGTTTATTTGAATGCCTTTATCTTTGACGAGATCTGGGTTTCTAGCTTCTCCGTCCGGGAGGTGACCGGTTGTGCCAGCAGCCGGGGGTTAATGGGAAGCAGAGCACGGCTGGGAGGAGGCGGGGAGCCGCTCGGCCGTGCTCACCCCGCGCCTGCCCCCCTCCCAGGTTACACCGTCTCCTCCGTCATATCCACCAAGCACGAGCGGATTTACGTTGCGGGAGCGCCCAGGTTCAACCACACCGGGAAAGTCATCATTTTCAGCATGCACAACAACCGAAACCTCACCATCCACCAGGCGCTGAAGGGAGAGCAGGTAAATGCCAGGGCCCACGCTGCCAGGGATGCTGCATGGATTTTTTTCCACCTGGCACGCATGCTCCTCCATAAATCCTCCCCCTTCATTTTGCAAATTGTTCTGTTGAGATGGCTCGGCAGTGCAGTGCATCCGCAGGCAGCTGGGGATGCCCTGGATGTTGCTGCACCCACAACTCCGACCCATGTGGCAGGGATGGGGCTCAGAATGTCTCTGTGGTCCCTGCCAGGGAGGGTGGCACTGCCCCTGCATGCCGAGGGCATTGCTCCCATCCCCTCCTCTGTCCCCTGCAGATCGGCTCCTACTACGGCAGCGAGATCAACTCCCTTGACGTCAACGGTGACGGTGTCACCGACGTTTTGCTGGTGGGAGCCCCCATGTACTTCAGCGAGGGCAGGGAGAGGGGGAAGGTCTACGTCTACACCCTGCGGGAGGTACGTGGCAGTGGGGCGAGCTGGGGGATGCCGCAGGGGCTGGGGTGTTTGGGTGCTATCACGGGAACTGTGTCCCCTCATGTCACCTCCCTGGGGTGGCTCCGGGCTGTGCGCACGCGTCAGCTTCCATCGAACACCCCAGGGCACGGCGTCCCGGTCCAAAGGCAACAGAGCTTGGCAGCGCCTCACTGCTGTGGCTGCTGCGAGACCTGAGGAGGATTTGTCTGTTTGCCTTATTTATAAACAATCTCAGGGGGTTTGCTCGCTGCCAGCGAAGGGAGTCCAGCCTGTGCTGGAGCGGAGCCGCCTCGTCTCGAGGCCTCACTGCTCCTGGCTGGGTGAGCTTCCCCGCCCCAAGGAGGTGATGCATGGGGTGCAAGGCAAGGTTCTGCTGCTCCCGTCCCCAAGGACGTGATGCATGGGGTGCAAGGCAAGGTTCTGCTGCTCCCGGCCCCGAGGAGGTGATGCACGGGGTGCAAGGCAAGGTTCTGCTGCTCCCGGCCCCAAGGAGGTGATGCACGGGGTGCAAGGTGGGGTCTTTGCAACGTGAGTGTCTCTCTGGAGAAACAGTGTCTGTCCACTTTGCCTGCCCCCAGAATCATTCCCTCCAAGGGCACCCTCCTGCCCGGAGGCTGGGCCAGGGATGGGGTTGTGGGGAGCAGTAGGGTCAGTCCCACCCCCATCCCCTTCCCTGGAGCCCAGCAACACTCTGGGGCAGGACCAGCTCTCCTGCTGTCCTCAAACCTGGCTGAAAATGCAGTTTCTGAGCCAAATCCATCAGGCTCTGGAGACAAGTGGGGCAGCGAGCAGGTCACGCTCTCTATCCAAGGCTGCAAAGCCTGCCTGGAGCAGCGGGAGCCCGCATATCTAAAGCACAACCTTTAATGCAATTATTTACGTAGGTCGCTATAAAAGGAAGGCAAAGCAGATATGGGACTGGCGCGGGGCTCGTCCATCCCCAAGGACATGGCTGAGCAGAAAGTCCCACGGCCCCAGGAGGGCTCTCGCCTCCTTCCTTGGAGAAACTGCTTGCACATCACTGCATCTTGTTTGCCTTTGAGGGTTTTTCCCTCTTGCCATGCTTGCTGCTGATGTTTTTTGGGTTGGATTTTTTTTGCCTTTTCTCTTTGGCTGCCCCAGCAGAATCGCTTCGTTCCCAGCGGTGCCCTCGTCGATCTGCAGAGCTACCAGAACTCCCGCTTCGGCTCCTGCATCGCCGCCGTGCCCGACCTCAACCAGGACTCCTACAATGACCTTGTCGTTGGGGCACCTTTGGAGGACGAGCACCAAGGAGCTATATACATCTTCCTCGGCTTTGAAGACACCATCCTGAAGAAGTACAAGCAGGTACGGCTCCCGGGTGCTTCGGTTGTCCTCATCCTTCATCAGAATAAATGTCATTCGTGCCTGTTTTAAGGACTGATCGAGCACAATAAATTCATGCGCAGTTTTGCATTGTTAATTATTATTGCCAGGTATTTTCCCTTGTGAGGGGTCCAAGACAAAGCAAAAGTAGAGTATGGAAAATGTACTTGAAATTAGGGGCAACGCCTAGAATCATTTAAGTTGGAAAAGACCTTTAAGATCATCAAGTCCAACCGCTGAAGTCCAACCGTTAGCACTCGGTGCAACGGATTGCTATAGAGAAAATATTTCTCATACTTGTGAGAAAGAGTAAATATGCTGAGTAATTTCAGCAGAAATCCATGCGTGGTGTCTCCAAAGAGGAATTGCTCTCCTTCCCTAGAAAATTATGTTTGGTGCCATCGCTTGGGAAGGGGCATCCTCAGTAGCATGGTACAGGTCAGCGTGGCAAACCCCTCCTTCTCAGGCAGGGATGCTCCTGCTGGAAGCCAGCTTGGATTCTCCCCTTTGCTTTTCAGCGGATTGCAGCTGCGGACCTCGCCCCGGGCCTGATGTATTTTGGATGCAGCATCCACGGGCAGCTGGACCTGAACGAAGACGGGCTCATAGACTTGGCCGTCGGCTCCCTGGGGAATGCTGTGCTGTTGTGGTTAGCTGCGTCTTGTTTGGCACCTCCTCTGCCCGAAGCTCATTGCAATATGCTGACATTTTTCGGGGGAAAACTGATCTCCCAACAATCTGACCCATCTTTCCACAATAATGACCCCCTGCCTGGTGGGGCTGTGGGGTTTCAATGCTATTGGGCCCTAGAAGGACGTCAGAGTTAGTTTTGCATTGAATTTCATCATGAGTTCCCCAGGAGCTCACAGATTTGTGGTGATTTGCCCAGGCTCCCTCTGTTCTTATTTAATAAGAAAAAAAATTAATATTTTCAAATATTGATTAATGTTTGGAAAGTCCCTCAAAGCCGTTAGGATGGAGGGTAGCTGTGCCCAGCAGAGATGGGCCACCCTGGGGTCTGCCTTGGAAAGTTCTATGTGCACGCAGGGGGCCAAATCCTGCCCTTGGTGTTGAGCTACTCCACTGGCATAAGCAGGATGCAACTATGTGCAAGAGAATTTATTCTTCAAATAAGATATAGATGAGCTGAGAGTAGATCAGCGTGCTGTACTGGCCTTCGGTCTTCCTCAGCACCTTCTTGATGTTGAGAAAGTGGGTGAAAAGGGTGAATTGGGAGGTGTGGGAGGGTTTTGGAGGCTTCTGCAGGCATCCCATGTGCATCTCCCCACCCTTGCCTGCCCCACAGGTCCCGCAGCGTGGTTCAGATCAACACCAGCATCCACTTTGAGCCCTCCAAAATCAACATCTTCACCAAGGACTGCAAGCGGAACGGGAAGGATGCCACCTGCATGTCGGCCTTCATCTGCTTCACCGCCATCTTCCTCTCGGCTCACTTCCAGACGGCCAGCGTGGGTAAGCGGCATGGCTGCTCGCACGACAAAAACCCCAATTCATGCCTTGTTTAGGTCTCCAGCCCCAAAGGGTCACCCAGCTTCTGCCAACGGAAGCCATCCAGGAGCTTGACATGTCTAGAGGAGCGCGCCTTGCCATCTGCCACATCACTTTTTACCCAAACTTGTCCCTATCCTGGCTGATGTAGCAGGGACGGTGGCTCTGCCACTAAGCAGCGCCAAGGAACACCCCCAGGATACAACCTTACCCCTGTTTAACCTCTTCTCTCACCTACACCCTGGGGCCAAGCTCTCCTGCAGCTCGTCTTGCCATGGTACGTGTGATGGGGATGTCGCCACCACCCCACCGGCCAGCGGGATGGGAGAGGACGTGCCGGGACCACGTCCCCCAGAGCTCACCCATCCTCCCCGCTGCAGCAACAGGACACATCTGCCGACCATATGTGCATGTTTCCCTAATATCCCAGGGAATCTCTGTGAAGTTACTGGCCAGCTCTGCTATTAAACCCTTGCATGTTGCTGTGACCCCGCATCTACCCGGCGGATGCCCATGACTCAGCTGGAGCGGGGGGAGGCGATGGCAGCTCGGCTCCCTGCAACCTGGCAGCAAACGCTGCCAAAGGAAAATCAGGTCCCGAGCGAAGCCAAAGGAATAACTCCCATCCCCTAGAGCAAGAATTTTGATTCCTACTATCACATCCAGCGTTTTCCTCCTCCCTGCTATAATTGTGGAGCTTGCAGGGCAAAAAGCTGCGTGGGGTTTTCTTTCTTTATTTACTTTTACGCTTACTTCCACCCCGAAGATCGCTCCGTGGATGGCGCATGCTGGGGGCTGACGGTTGCTCTTTGCTTTCTTGCACGTTTTGCATCGCGTTGGTGTAGTGGGTGCAATTCCCCCCGGCTCAGCACCGGGTTGGGGACCTTTGGGTTCTTTTTGACAGCACTGCAGGAAACAAATGATCTCCAGTAAAGCACCAGTGTGCTGCAGGGTGCAATCCCTCTGGGACTGGCACAGGCCAGCATGTGGATACGTGGGGCAGATGGTTTATATCCTGCACAGGTTTTACTCGGTGTCTTGTAGTAATGCATTTTTAAAGTTCCTCACCTGAGCTGCAGAGCGGATGCTTTGCCCAAAAGGAATGTCTGTTAGAAACAGGTAACAATGCTATAACCCGATTTTTCCCAATTTTCCCTTCGTATGCTCCCTGCCGTGCTCCTCCCAGCTGGGCAACAGGGGGTTGAGTGTGCAAAAGCCCAGTTTTTGACCTGGTGTCACTATATAGCAAGCGGAGCCCTGGGGAGAAGCCCTGACGGCACGGCTCTCCTTCCAGGGCTGCGGTACAACGCCACCATCGACGAGCGCAGGTACACGCCGCGGGCTCACCTGGACGAGAGCGGGGAGCGGCACACACAGAAGGGGCTGGCACTGCTCGCCGGGCAGGAGCACTGCGACAGGCTCCAGTTCCACGTCCTGGTGAGTGTGAAGGAGGAGGAGGAGGCTGGGGTCTCCTTTGGGGCAGAGCCAGCCACCCGAGCAAAGATGCTCTCCACCTTGTGCAAAGCAGCGATGCGCCAGGATGTGGTCGGAGGAGCCTCGATGGCTTCACGGGGCTGGAAATGAGCCTCGTCCCCCAGCCCAGATTTCTTCATGCTGATTTGGATGTGGTCAGGGGTGGAACTGCCGGCGAGCGG